GTCTTTTTTTCCTTTTTTTTTTTTTTTTTTTTTTTTTTTTAGGTACTGGGAAGTGAGTACAGGGTCTTCCCATTTGGCTTTGTCCTCAGCCCTTTTTGAGACAGGGTCTCACTAAGTTGCTCAGTTGCCCAGGCTGGGCTTGAATTTATAACCCTCCTGCCTCAGCCTCCCAAAATGCTGGAACTACATGCGCCACCATGCCCAGCTTCGCTCAGTACTGTTCTGGAGATTATTCCTGCTAACGAACAGTTGTGCACAACACTGTTTTTGCTTGGTAAGGTTTTTCATGGAAGTGTAGGTGCAGAAAACTTCACAAATCATCGGTGTGCAGCTGGACTGATGTACTGGTGGGATTCAGAACCCCAGCAGCTCTCTTGGGCTCCTGCTAAATCACTCTCTGTCCCCTTGTCCCCAAGGCCACAGTCTTCTGGCACATCCCCCAGAGGGCACAGAGACGGAATCACGTGAGGTGCTCCTTCCCAGGCACCGACCTGAGCTTCCGGCTGCCCTGTGACTGCGCAGTGCCGCGTACCGGACGTGCACGCGGTTCACTTTTCCTTTGCGTCAGTGTGCGTCTGGGGGTGTTCGGGTTAGGGCCTGGCTCCAAGCACGCCCAGACATCCTCTGGGTACCAGGGCCTTCTGTCTGCGCATCTTCAGTGGTGACACACAGGATAGCCAGGTGTTCGGTGTGGGGTGAGCCTGCCTCAGTTTCCCGGTGGGGCACTTCCTGTGTAGCCTGCCCTGTGTAGCCTGTGTGACATCCCGTGGGTTTTATAGCATGGAAACCTATCTGAGAGACGTGTCACCATTTGATTTCCAGTCCTCCCAGCTCTTACATGTAGTTCATAAGTGAAGGTCCTTTCAAGCCAATCTTGGCACATATCAGGGATTATTTTCCTAGAATAAATACCTAGAAGGCTGCAGAATACTTTTTAATATCTAGAAATCTTAGAATATTTTTAATCCTCTGCATGCCCGTGGACAAACTTCCCGTCCTAGGAAGCAGCAACAATCTCTGTTCCATTTCACGGTTTGGCACACAGGGCTACGTGGTAAATACTTTTGGTTTTGTCAGCCAGGTGTGATGTCAGACACCTGTAGTTCCTCTGGGGAGGCTGAGGCAGGAGGATTGCTAGCTCAAGCCCAGGCTGGACAACTAGTGACTTAGTGAAGGCTGGGGAAAAGGGCTGGGGATTTAGCTCAGTGCCGAGGCCCTAGGTTCAATCCCCAGTCCCAGAAAAAAACCAAACAAAAAGAATGCTTTACATGTAACTACGCAGCCTGGATCCCCCTCGGCGATTAACACTTGACTCGCCTTTCTAGGAAATCCCCACATGTGAAGATGAACACAGGAGCTCATGAGACAAAGCCAAACGGTGGGAACGAAAACTACGGCTACAGCTTGGAGGAGCCACGCAGCGCAGGTGAGCAGCAGGCCGGCCGGGGAGAGACCGGGGCAGAGCCTGCAGGAATCGGGCTGGCTGACCAGGCGCAGCTGTGTAGGGAAGATTTCTCGGCATCGCTGGGAATTACTTTTGGTCAATTTTAGAAGGAGACGTTCTAGAATTAGGAATACCTAGGAGTAGGTTCACAGAAAAATAAAAGCAAAAAACAAAACAACAACAACAACAACAAAAAACAATCCAAGCTTGTCTAAAGTTTAAAGTGAGTTGGAAGTTGGAAAGTTTTTAAAAAATAAATTTCTGGGTAATTTTTCCCCCTTCCATGCATTTTTAAAAAATGTTTCTGCTTAAAATGTGGGGGGCAGGCAGGTTAACCCCTGTCCCTCCAACAAACCCAACCCCGGTCCCCGTAAAACTAACGTTGGCAAGAAACGGGTCCCTGTTCCTGTCTGGGTCATGCTTAGGGCTGGAAGGCTGAGGCTCCTGTCACTGTCTTCCCGGGAGTCGTTCTAAGGTGGGCGAGGGTGCAGCAGTAGGATTTGCACAGTCATTGTGAGGGGACCAGGGACACAGTGCTCCTTAGCAGTCTGAAAGGAAACCCAGCCCCATGTGGTCTGCCCAGGCAAGTTCCATGGAAAGACTTTTACCCGATCAGCTCCTGGAGAGGGGCCTGAAAATCGTTTCTTTTTGATAAGACTAGGACTCTGTTATCAGAACCCCGATATACACTGGTGATAATGCTTCACCCTTTACACAAAACCCCCCAAAGCATGTACTGCTTCCTTTGATAGTGGGACCACAACTTCTTGCAAAGTTTCTTCTGAATGTTTGTTCATTAGTATTTTAAGCAATTAATCATTATCTTCTTTGTAGTGCTGGGGATTAAAGCCAGGGCCGCCTGCAGAGGAGACCCATGCTTTACTACTGAGCTTTACCAACAGTCCTTAATCAAGTATCTTTTAAAATTTCTTTTTCAGTGTTGAAGATTGAACCCAAGGGTGCTCTACCACTGAGCTACATCCCCAGCCCACTGTTTTTAAAAATTCAGACACAGAGCCTTGCTAAGTTGCCTTGGCAGAACTTGAACTTGTAGCCCTCCTGCCCCAGTTTCTCTCCGTGCTGGGATTCCAGGCTATGCCACCACAGCCAGCTTAATCAAGTGTCCTAACCAAAATAATGGCTCAAACAAGACCTCTCTGCCTGTCCTTCCCCTCATGGACTTTGTATTCATTTCCCTGGTCAGCTAACGAAGCCATGGAATCATCTTGGCTCTGGGTGAGACTAAGGTGTCAAGAAAGGAATTAATTTTGCATTACTTTTTCCTATTTTTGTATCACTAAAAAATGAGGTTCTAAAACTATATAATCTCAAGGGAATTTTTAAAAAAGCTTCTGTATGCTTGTGTTAGCTTTCTGTCACTGTGACAAAATACCTGAGATAAACAACTTACAAAGAGGAAAAGTTTGTTTTGGCTCATGATTTCAGAGGTTCCCGTCCAAGACTGGCCTCATTGCTTTTGGGCCTGTGGCAAAGCAAAACATCATGGCAGGGAGCATGTGGTAGAACAAGCTTCTCACCTCCTGGAACTAGGAAGAAGCAAAGAGAAACAGGAGGGACAGGGGTCTCAGTATCCCTTTTGAGGCCATGCCCCCAATGACCTCACTTCCTCTTACTAGACTCCACCTCTTAAAGGTTCCGCCACCTCTGGACAATGACAAGCTGAGGACTAGGTCTTCAGGGAACATTTAGATCCACCCTGAAGTGGTGATTAGGGTTCATTTCGTACCAGAGTTATTACAGAAATGGAAACGTATTTCTTTACAAATCATAACTGTTAAAATGTACTTGGTTTCTATCACATTATTCTGAAATCATTCTTCCACTGCAGATCACTTTGCTGTCCCTCCTAAGTCCAGCGAATTGAGTATTCCAGCACAGCGTGGCAGCAGACCTCCCCAGAAGGTGATCCAGACTATTTTTTCTTTTGCTATTTAAAAATCTTTAGCAGGTGGTAGATGACTGCAAAACTATGTGTGCTGCATGCTTGGCACGGAGGAAGGAAGGCCTCTACCCCTCACCTCCATGTCAGTGGGTCGGCCTGGGGAAGAGGGGCTGAGACACTGAGTATCTCTTGTCCCTCTGGCTGTGGCTCCAAGACCAAGGCCAAAGGAACATGGCTGTCTGGTGCACATTTGGGGAGGAGGGGCTTGTCAGGGATCTGTCATCCAAGTGAGCTAAATCACGAGCACTCTATGCCTGAACCAGGTTCTCCCAGGACTCGAGTCAGCTGTGCCCTCCTGGTTCCCCAGCACCCACCGAGGCATGCCTGCGCTTGACCCTTGGGCACTGTGTCTCAGGGAAGGACGCTGGTGCTGGGTCTGAGAAGCACGCAGAGAGAGGATGGCTTGCTGTTCAAGGCGGGGTGTCTGTGCCCAAGGGTTTAGACCCTGAAAGATCCTTTGGGTTTTAAATTTCTGGGGAAAGAGGAGGAGGAGCCCCTGATGATTTAGGGCTGTAGCCAGAACTGCCAGGAGGCTGGGTTGTGATTAACTGGAACGGGGAGCACCATGGGCTGAGTGGATTTGGGGAAAGGGCAGGCACAGGAGGTGAGACTCGCAGATTGGGAAGCGTCTTGGGCGTCCACGTTGCAACCCACACTTGCAGCTGGGTGCTCGGGTCTGCAGTTCTGGAGAAACGTGTGCTGTGGATCCCGGTCGTGAAGCCGTGTGTTGATGGGCAAGGCCCGCAAAGTCACCGGGGAACCTTGAGAACAGACTGTGTTAGTTTCTGATACGGAGCTGTCCCTGCTTAGCGTGTATAAGCTAACTGAAGTTAATGAGCAGAAAAGATTTCTAGAGGTACAGCCTTGGATGAGAAGTATTTGAGGGCAACTCTGCAACAGGGTCCCCTATAAGCACGGCTGCTCCTTTCAGCTTGTGGGAGCACCTCATGGGCTGGATTTCTGAGGCAGCCTGGATCAGATGGTCCTAGGTTTTCTGCACAGGAGGGACCTGCAGCAATGAGGCCCAGCATGTGCCTTGACAGCCCTGATCATTCTTTTTTGCCTTACCTATTTACTCTCATTTCCATGCCGCTCCAAGCTGCCGTATTCCTCCTGCAGTTGGGATGCAGCTCATGCATACATCTTGCCAGTGACAGGTGCCTTTCTGGCCCCGAGGGAGGATGGGGAGCTGGGGCTGTTGCTCACTCAGGTGGTAGGTAGACCTCAGCGATGCATCAGTGATGTCAGAGGAGGCCAGGAGGGAAGACTAGGCACGTACATCTTCTTTCCTCTGGAGCTGGGAGAAAGGTAGCAGGTTTCCTCTAGAAGCACAGCGGCTAAGAGGTGGCAGTTGGGAGGAGGGACGATCAGCCTGGGAGGGCTGTTGCTTATCAGATCCCCATGCTGGGCCTGAGGGGCTCTCTGCCACCTGGCCCCAAACACAGACGGGCCAAGAACCAGATTCAGCTGGCTGCTGGTACCCTAGCCTTTCTGCAGGTACCTTTTCCATCGGGTGTTTTCACTACGGTAACCCACCTTTGACTGATAACCCCCTCCAGAGTGCATCCGGTACAGATGAGGAAAGGGGACCTCGGCGTGTTTGGAAACAGCTGAGGATGACATTGAGGTGGATCCTTCATGGTGCTGGAAGCGCTGTTTTGAAAACGCACAGGGAGGGAAATTTCAGTTTTCCACTACTGAAACCTGTTGCTGGTGAAATAATCTACTGGTAGAAGAAGAGCTGCCATCAAGCTCCTGAGTCCCGAGATGGCAACACGCACTCGTGTCCCTTCTTCGTCACCTTCTCTACCTGACGCCCACGACTTACAGGAGGGGGGCGTTATCCGGCTCACGGTCCCTCGAGGTTCAGTCCACAGTCCATAGTCGGCTGGCTCCGAGGCAGGGTGGCCTGGCACAGGGGCAGAGGAGAGCTGTCCCTGGGGCAGCAGGAAGGAATAGAGAGCAAGATCAAGGGAGGGGTGGGGAGGGACATGGACCCTTCCAGGCCACACCCCAGCGACCCTGCCTCTAACTGGCCCTACCTCCCAACACCACAGTTCGCTGTAAACTCACCCATGGAGGGCATGAGCTTTCAGGGGACATTTACATCTAAACCATGCCCTATTCCCTGAAGGTTCACAAGACCTCAAGAGAGTCAAGGACCTTAAATCAAGACCCCAGAACAAAGGTCGTCTTTGTCTGGGCTGGAACCCGGGGACAGGTTATAGAGCAGCTGGATCTTTGTAATTACGGGGGGCAGCGGACTTGAAGACCAGCATAATAACTCTGACCAGGTCTGTCTTTGAGTTTCCCCAAGGGGGCCCTTCACAGGCAGGGGTCCAGCACTGGCTCCAGGTGGCCATGGAGAACCTGGCTACTGAAGGCACCATGGGCTCCACCTGCTGAGAGGACTTTGAGGAGCGCAAGAGCCTGATGTCCTCGTTCCAAAGACCTCCATGCAGCCAGCTGGCCACTTGGGAGCACTGGTGTGGTCAAGTCACAGCTTGCAGAGCAGGTCAGGGTGATGCACAGCGCGGAGGCTCCTTCCTGCAGGCCAGCCTTGCATGCCTGCCTGGGCTGCGTGGCCGACTTGTTGCTGTGCAGGCTGGGAACCCTGTAAGGATGGTGTAGTCTGTGCCTTCTTCCCTCAGCCGTCCCTGATTCCCCACAGAGCCTTGCTCCCTGGAGACCCAGGAGAGGCAGCTGAGAGGGGTCCGGAGCACCTCTCCTTGGTCCTTCCTGCCGCCTGTCTGTGTGCCTCCGTGTGGCTCGTTTGTCACAGGCCCTTGCTGCTGCAGGGTGTTTCCACGCACACACGCCTCCCTGCTCCCAAACACCTTTCCAGCCCAGTGCCCCCCGCAGCTGGCCTGGCTGCTGCCGGGGAAGTTGTCTCGTCTGAGATGGGGATGGCTGGCATCAGACTTCACTGTTTTGCAGAAGTCCCCAAGCTCGGGGCTGCAAAGCCTGGGGGTTCAGGGGAGCTCCCAACCCTTAGCCAGCCTGCAGCCCAGCACGGCTCCCAGTCTCAGTGCCTTTGGGCTGCTTTTGTCTGTCCTTGGGGACACAGTGTGCCCAGGGGCACAGGGAGGTCTCCCGTCTAGGGATCGAATCCGAGGCCTTGCAAGCACTGAAAGGTCCCTGTACTATTGAGCTACACCCCAGCCCCTATAAACACCCGAGTCGTGGTGCCTTGCTGGCCTGGCATAGTTCTCAGTAGCGCAGCAACCAGTGTGCTGGGGTGCTTGCTGTATGGGGACTTGCGGCTCTTCCGGTCTCTGTGGACCAGAATGTCTAGAGGATAGGGCCAAGATCTGGTGTCTTCCCATGTTTCCTGGTTCTGCTTTGAGGAAAAATGGTTTTGCAGACATGGGCATCACCCTTTCTAAGAACACTGTGAGGTCTAGGGGTTTTCTTATAACCGTGCATTTGGAATCACTTATGCCTCACGTACACACAGCACTGAGCTTTCTGCAAAGTTTGTTATGGGCAGGGATGCCATGGTCAGTGCCAAATGCAAGGCTGTGGGGCTGAAATATTCTACCATCCACATGGCAGGTGGATATAAAACCTCCCATGTTTATATGGGTCCTAGTTGTAGTACATGCAATTCAGGCCAAAGAAATATGGTTTTAGGCTGCAGAGACCACAGACCATGCAGTAAATGGTAGGAAGGATCAGAAGGAAAAAAGAGATTGATTTTCACAGCTGCTTATTTCTACTGTGACGGACTTTTTTGTTACTGACATTGTTGTCAAGACAGGAGCTTCTGCCGGTGAAGTTAGCTCAGGTGTGACAGCAGCTGAAACAGACTTTGTTGTGAACTTTCACAGGTCTACTGTAGAAGACTCACTTTGTTGGATTACAAATGAATCCACCTTACGAGGGCTCTCCCAGAAGGGAACTTGTTCATAAGCCAGGAAGGATCAGAAGGAAAAAAGAGATTGATTTTCCTTTGTTTCCTATCCATAAAATTGGAAATTTTTACCAGGAGTTACAGTCAGCTCATGGGAAGGGGGAGTTCTTATTTTGAAATGTATCATGTGTTTGCGAATGTTTTCTGTACTGATGAATGTTTAAAACACATCAACACCCTTCCCTCTCTTTCCGAGTCCTCGCTCAGTCTTTCCAGCTGATTTAGGAGACTGGGGCTCTTTCTCTGCTAGCTTTAGAGATTGAGGTTATGAATGTCTCAAAACCTGCACTGACCCCCATACTCACCTTGAGTCCTGCTCGGATAAACAGAAATAAGCCCATGGTAAATGCAGAAAGCAGCAGCACATTCGTGCACTGTAGCAGTGCCAGCCAAAGCAAGCGACAGCCCAGCAGTATGTTCCCAGGCAGAGGCAGCTGCCAGGCTCCTCCAGCTGTTGGGTCAGTTTACCACAGCTGGACTGGGTGACGCTGTCTTCGGGACCCCTCACATCCACTGCAAGGCCGGTCACTCCTGGCTGGGTTCGACATTTGAGATGGTGAAAGAGGCCGCTACGCCTGTGAGTCTGAGCTAGCGTCGTCCTAGGGGCTGTCAGGAGAAACAGGTGGCTGCAGGTTTTCACAGGGCGCCTATTAGACAGGCACTGGCCTTTCTGGAACATTCCACGGTTAGTCTGGGAAATGTTTCTGAATGTGGACGGCAGAGACGAGCTCCTTCCTGACAGCACCCGGCACCATGCCGTCCCAGGAGACCAATGGCGAACCCATTCAGAGTCCGTTCTTCAGTCCTTGCACCCTCTCTTTTCAAAGGAATGCACTGTATGTGAAGAAGCTTGGAGATATTTTCTATTTTCATAGTAACCATCTGGTAAAATGAGGACTAAAAAGGATCAAGAGGAGATGTGTATGTGTTGGTAGCCCATGATGCATATATTATGTACTGCAAATATATACTAAAAAAAATAAGAAAACAAGAACTTTCATAGGAAGATCAAAAGAACAAACCAGGGAATCTTTGCATTTGTAATTTTGTTACTGAAGGAATTGGCAAGTGACACACAGAGAGGCGGCAGAATGGAAGTAAAATAATACAAAGTTCATTTGTCCACAAGGGATCGATCGCACGTAAAATCAGTGGCTGGATCCATGATGCACTGGGTTACAACCCCTCCTTTTATAGAGATGTACAGCCTTGACTTCATTTGGGTGGTTACATCTTGTTCTCACAGTTCATATTGCTGATATACAAATCGTGCTCACAGGACAGTTAGTTAGGGGAGTTTACCTTTAAGATTCGCCTAGTTATCTATCCTAGCCCATAGGAGGGTGTCCGGGGTCAGGGCAGCAAATGTCAGCCATGGTCCTTTTCTTCTTGACACTTTTCCGATCCCGTGGCTCCAATCCCTTCGGAGCTCAAGGTCTTGCTGTGCCCTGTTATCTCAGGGTCAGACCAAGTGTCTTGTTCAGTAATCAATGCCTTCGGTATCTGTTAGCCCTGAGCTAAACAAAACAAGCTGCTGTTAGAGACAGCAGAAGCCATTCTACATTGTAACACTTTCTAGGTTTTTGCTGTTTGTAAAGTTTTCCCTATCAATTTGTCTCCATAGAAGGGAACTTTGGAGTTGGACTGCTGTTTGGGCCTTGGACTTGGAGAACGCGTAGAGCGCGTGTGTTGTTGAAGTAAAGGGAGTAACAGAAGGGTGTGTTTAGCATTTTCCCCTCTCTGCATCCTAGTTTTGTCTTCTCTGATGAGAGAGGCTTCTCGAGTGCACATTTTACAGTGAGCTCAACCAATTAAATCGATGCTTTTGTTTGTTTCCAGGAAGTAGAGAAACATCGGTCCAACCCAGCAAGCCGTCCACAGGTTTCTTTCAACGTCACCGGTCCTCAGAAGGTCAGGAATGCGACTCTAGTATAGTACAGACTCTCGCTGTGCTGCTGATTCACACCGTGGTGACCACGGCGTTCCCTCCGCCCCAGGCCCCAGCTTTGTCCACACTGCTGATGGGGCCATGTTGGAGCCACTGGAACTTCAGTTGAATTTGACTTTTAAAATGTGTCATGGTTTTAGTGAATTCCTTAAAGTACAACCTGCCAATTTACCCTGATGATGTCTCTCATCACCCGACACTCCTGCTTGCTAATTCAATAAATGGTAGAAAAGCCTGTGTTCTGCCATGGCTTGTCAAATATTTTTTTTTATTTTCCTAAACATATTAATTTAATATTTTTGTGTGTTTCTAGGTAGGGGCATGATTGCGTGTTATCAGTAAAGTAAGAGGATAAAAATTAGGATCGATCAGAAACTATAAAATTCACTGGCAAATTGGAGCTCGATGTGTTAAAAATATAAGATCCGATTTAACACGAGGGGCACCTGCTCCCCCAGGCTCCCTGTGTCAGAGTTATGCTGCTGACGAGGGCCAGCCCGGGCCTGGGGTCTGCTGTGGCCTCTGCCCAGGGAACCAGGTGGGAGGATCCTGCTCTCTGGTGATCCAGGCCATGAAACACCTGCCCCCTGACTCGGGCATGCAGTGGGGTTGCGGGGGCCCCTGCAAGCCTGGTCTGGAGCAGGGCAACAGGTGTCCCCACCCTGGTCGCCTCTGCGGGAGTCGGGTCTGGCCAGCAGCTCTGTTCTCAGATGTGGCTGTCCTACAACAGAAGCCTCGAGAGTCTCCAGGTGGTGCCCAGCTGCCTCTCTTCTAGGGGTGGCAGAGTGATAGCTGGATCAGGTGGGGCGCACACAAGGACGGGAAGAGGCCCCACCACAGCGGCTGGAACTGGGGCAGCAGCGCCCGGGCCACAGAGCCCATGGGCCTCTTGCATCCCTGCACCCACAAACCGGCTGCTCCTAGAGAAGCCCTCTCAGGGATCCTACACCATCCTCTGTGATCCACAGCGCAAAGACCCCTGCCAGGAGGAGCCCCCCTTCCTCAGACAGTCGAGAAGCTGCCGAAGTGATGTACAAAGGCCGCTGGCTGTCCCTGGGAAGGAAGGGTCACTCCCACCCGAGGGCCAGCCGCAAAAGTCCCAGGAGCACAGGCAGCCTCTTCAGATCCGAGCACCCTGAAAGTGTGTGAAAACCATGACCTCTCTTCGTGCGTGCAGATGAAAGAATCACACTGACAGATTCATTTGAAGATGTCCATGGGCCTTCAGTGAAGAAAAGAGAACTTGAAGATCTGAAGGAAAATGTAGAATTCAGAGGTCACGAGCGACTTAACATCACTGTCCCCCCCAAAAAAAGACCAAAACAAATGCAACCGGCTCTATCAGAGAAGTCCGAGAGCTCTTAATGTGAAAGAAGAAAATAAAAAATACCAAAAGAGAAGCAATTTATCAATCTCACCTGTGACTCCCTCGGCCTCTGCTGTCACAGCCTTCCCTGAGTCATGTGTGTGGCAGGTACTGCTGCAAGCTCATTATCAAGAAACTGTTCTTTAGATTTTAATGAGGACAGTGATGCAGATGATGAAGGAGAAACACGGTGCAGTGCTATTCCTGGGGATGATGACCTTGCACGTCAAGTGCCTGGAGTTTCAGAGAGGCAACCCCTCCTGTTCTAAAGCCTCCTGTCACCAGTCTGCCCAAACCCTCTGGCAGTGACCCTCATGAAAGCACAGCAGTGTACTGAAGATTTTGTTGTGTTCACACCATGCAGCTGGATGAAATGAATCCTATAAATTCCATCCATTGCACAGAATCTATACCGCAGCACAAGCAAAGGCTAGGACACAAGACAAAAGTGGGTATGATGGTGGAGTTTCCCATGTTCAAATCTCCTTTTGCAGGTCCTGGGATCTTAGCTGCTGCAAATAGGACCAAATTAGGAGTTCTAGAACCATTTTCACCGAGCCTTCACCCTGTGAAAAAAGGCAGTTCAATTAATTGGTCTTTACCAGATAAAATAAAATCTCCACGACCTGTGAGGAAACTTTCCATGAAAATGAAAAAGTTGCCAGAACTTAGTCAAAAGCTAAGTGTTAAGGGAACCTCGAATTATATGCACCACCCAGACAGTACTCCTTCCTCGTCTGGATGTAACTATAGAGAAGTATTCTACCTTCGGGAATACTTGCACAGCTGCTAAGAGGAATGTTATAAGCCGGTGCCATTTTGATACTCCTGTGTCTTCTCAGCACAGCTACCAGAAGAAAACCTTGAATTCAAAGTATTCTTGCAAAGGTGGTTATCTCAGTGATGGAGAATCACCGGAACTTATAACTCAATCTAGCAAACATGGACCTGAAAACAAATTTGGAAAAGAAATCATTCCAAGTAGTTGTAATAAAAATGAAATAGACATAGATGCGTTTAGACATTATAGCGTCTCTGTACTGTGCATATCTGGGCTCACGAGTGTGCCTTTCTATGGTGCTGAGGATTTAAAACCCCTCGGATAGATTTGAAAGATTTGTCTTTTGTGCAGTTCAGGTAGATTCAGTAAACACAGCAAGAACAGCTTGGCTTACATGTCAGACAACGTTTTTAGACATGGGTCACACTTTCAGCATAGAAACTGAAAATGCACAACATCTGCAATGAGTAGTGTTCAGTTGGGACCCCACTCCAAGAACAAATCAAGGGTGTTGTCTTGGAACTGAAATATTTTTATAATCCTGAAAATATGTATATATTTATAAGTGCATATATGTATAGGCATTAGAATGAGAGGTGGGGGTGACTGTGGACTCACATTTCCTTTTTTTTTGGTACTGGGGATCAAACTCAGTACCTTGCACTTGTGAGGCAGGCAGTGGCAGGCACCATTGTCACATGTACGTTTTAAGATATATATGTCATAGGACCAAAATTATTAGCTGAAAGTATCTTTTTCAGGTAAAGGACATTTAAATTAAAGGAAGATTTACATAAAAACACTTGAGTAAAAACACTCTAGAAGTATCTGAGTAGAAATAATAGATTTTCTTTTTTTAAAAAATTTATAGACAGTCACAGTATTCCCTGTGAAAGGCCATCTTTTAAAGTGATAAAATCCTTCTTTAACTGATAAAGTGTCCAGCTTTCTGTATTAATAACCTAGATTTTAAGTTTCAACTCTTCTGTGCATTTTTGTATTTGGTGATGTGTTAAATATTTATTTTAGTAGCACATTTATAATGTTGACTTTCTAATTACCCCCATATGTTTCTAAAGAAATCATCTTGCCAGCATACTACATGTTACTGATTTTTTAAAAATAACTTATTTGGACTAAATATATCTGTAAGTTAGTTCTCATAGCTGTCACAGCAGTATTTGAAGATGTAAATTTAGAAGACTTATTAAAATGGAATATATATTTTTAAACATACACCTACAGAATGTGTAATTTAAAATTTATAAATAAAATTTAAATTACCAAAAAAAATTGGCACAAGGAGCACATTCCTAAATATCTTGTGATTGTTATCTACAGGAAGGCAGTCTTTCCCATCTGCTCCTGTGTCATAGCTGCTCTCATCTCCTCCAGTGAGTCAGATGTGGGTTCTGCCTGGGATGGGGGTGAAGCTCACCTACTATAGGCATTGTAAAGAAACTAGAAACGGACAAGGTGTCCTTTCATAAACCAAAATAAAAACATCAAAAATGTGCATTGCCTTTTGGATTGAACTCAGGACCTTGCACTTGTGAGATAGGCGGCGGCACCACTGAGCTGTGCCTTTCTAACTCTGTGCGTTGTCTTTCTAACTCTTTACCGACTGGCTGGTAGTTTAAAGAATGGTGGTGTTTAGAAATGAAGTATTTTCCAAGAAGGGGAACAGGAGACTTCTGTGGACGGTGACCCCAGCTTCCCGTGTTTCTCTTACTCCTGCACATTGGGTCCATTTAAAGTCAGCACAAATGTTGATCCTAAGAATGAAATCTCTGCCTTTTCCAAATACTGTTCTTCATCTAGATACACTCAGTGAAATTCACTGGCCACCCCACCCCTTCCTATGTAAACTGAAGCTGGGGCTGTTACTTGCTAGAGTTCTGAATTGGTTGGCACAGATCTCTGCTCTGGTTGGCAATTAGTTGCTGCTCTGAGTCCCCCATGCCCAACCATGCTATTGCTAAGTAAAATCTGACTTGTTAAATGTGTCAAGATTTTGGCAATTTCTTTGAAATTACAAAATAAAAGATGAAATTCATCCTGATGTTTCTCATCACTCATTACCCCTGCTTGCTAATCCAGGAAATAGCAGACAAGTCTTTTACTACCATGATTTATAAAACACTTTTATGATCTTAAATCTCATGGCACCTCCTGTGAACCAAGGACTAACTCAAGGGCTATTTCCTAGCACAGCACTTGATGGGTTTCTGTTCTGAATGGCCGGTGCCCATACAGTTCTATTCTGATTGGGTGGTGTTTATAAAGTATTGGTTCTGGTTGATCAGTGCCTACATAACGTCTTTTCTGATTAGATGGTGTTTGTGCCGCTGAAAAATTGTCTTCACAAAACTAGTCCCTGGTGCCAAAAAGGCTGGGGACTATTGTCCTGGAGGACAACACCAAATGAGTTTTGTAAGTTTCTCCAATTTCATACATGCTTATTAAATCACTCTCAAATTATTTTTTTTTTCACTTATCAAACTGCAGGAGTTTTTTTTCTGGGTCATTGATGAGCTCTCAATATAGTTTGTTCCCTCTTATGTTTAATCTCCACAAAGTGTTATGTTACTGGTAAAGAGAGGGTGGAAACGTAACAGTAATATGATGTTCAGATGTGGGATTTGGGAAGTGACCAGATTAAGTCAGGCTTTTTGAGCAAAGGCCTCATCACTGAATCCTGGTGGCTGTGGGAGGAGAGGGACATCAGACAGAGATGCACACACTTCTGCTGTGCTATGGTAGCTAAGGGCACCCTGGCAGAGCCAGTGCCCTGCTCTTTGGACTTCCAGCCTCCAAAACCAAGAACTATATAAAGCTGCTTTCTTTATAACAGGTATTTTGTTACAATAACAGGAATCAGCCTAATATAGTCACTAAAGAACAGGTTCTTTTCACTGCATCTTACTTCTGAGAGTAGTTTCTCAAAGAGATTTCCATGGCTAATTATATTCACAGAGGCAGGGGGGTTATTTCAACAGAATTATCTAAAAATATACCAGAACCTAATGCGAAATAGGAAGAAAAGGTCTAAAGGAGAAGGGGAAGTGGGAAGGGTAGGGGAAAGGAAATAAGGGACAAGAGAAAAGTTATGAAAAATGGAAACAAAGTCCTTGTAAATAGGGAAGGGTGAGAGGGGCTAAAGGGAGGGCAGAGGAAAGGGAAAAAAATAAAAACCAAGATACGTCATGTAAAGGTACAAGATCCCAATGGTGAATGTAACTATTGTTTACCTTAAATGTACCAATAAACTCAATGGGGAAAAAAACACCGGGACCACATAAGACTACTTAAATTTAAGTCACATAAGCTAAATGAGGCCTCCATTTCCCCCGGCACACTAGCCACATCTGCAGTGCTCGGTCGCAGCCTGTGGCCAGGGGCTCTGTACTGGGCAGTGCAGGCGACAGGTCTGTGTTGCCACAGAAAGGTCAGTGTATCAGACAGTGCTGAATAGAGCCGGCTGCTTGGGAATGATTCTGGAGTGTCATCAGCGGCCTTTTCCTACTATCAGGAAGCTGTGTATTCTTCAGCGAGGTCTGCACTCGGCCAGTTTCTATTTAGGGATCCTGCAAACCCCGAGGCAGCTCTCAACCGCGAATAGTGAGTCGCTGAAGTAGAAAACTCATCTCTCACTGCAGTGCGGAGAGCGGAGGCCGGCGTAGCAGGGATAGGGAACAGGCAAGTCCATGACGCCAGAGCACTGGGTCAGAGCTGTTCCGTGGTCAAGGTAGATGGGGCTCATTATTTATTTGTATTATTACTCATTTTATTTATTTTTATTTTGTTTAAACAAATGTCCCTTAAAATCGTGTGTCAAATTTCTGACCAGGGACACCGTCCTGGCCCATCGCTCCTGAGGGCCTTTGACCTTCCTTAGTCTGCCAGATTCCAAGCTCGCCCCATGAAGCTTTTCTGTAGTTTACTCAGAGGACCCACGTGGAAACATGAACACCCCAAAGATGATAGCGGTGTGGACAGAAGCACGTCCTCTACTCTGTGTGATCCTGGCCTTGGGAAATGGCAACGGGCATTAAAGTGAAGTTGCATATTCATGAGAGTTGGGGACATAAAAGGGCAAATGGCTACCGTGGAGCGTACAGGAGATGCCACACGAGTTTCCGAAACCTGGCATTTAAATGCTTGTGATGCCATTGTGGATGAACACGCAACCTGCGTAAAGGTAGAAGATCGTGCTCTGGAGAGTTTGGGTTCTCTTGGTCAGATCTGTGCCATCTTTGCTTGCAATGATTTCAGCCAGTTTGCTCCACAGCCCACCCTCTCATCTCAATGACTACAGCAGTTTCCTGGTTAATAGACAGCCTCATTTGTGTCCCCCTCTGCCTGCAGTGGAGCAGTCGCCTGCTCTTGTGCTCTCAGGCAGTGCTCAGAAGCCCCGCCAGTCCCCCACCCCAGTCTCCTCTGTGGTCTCCATCCTGCTTAGTCTTCAGGGGAGCTGAAGGGCGGAGGTCCATCTTTTAGAGCTGCTTCTGAATGGCCGGGGGCAGCTGGCCCTGCTTACTGGAGGGACACAAGTCCTTGGTTGCCTGATCTTGAGGAACCGGTGGCCGGCTCTGACCTTCAGTGCCAGTGGCAGGTGTGACTGGAAGCCGTGCTTGGCCATCAACTTTGTGTGGAACCGCTGCAGCCTGGGAGCGACAACTCAGCGAATCAAACGAGCAGGGGCCAAAGATGAGGAGTAAAGAAGAGGTGACAAGTGGGCCTAGGGGAGGCAGGGGCCAAGTGAGACTGGGCAAGGCGAGCTTCCTGCCATCCTGCACGGCACCTCCTCTTATTCTACACCGTCTCATTCTGTACGCCCTTAGCGTGTGAGCTCACACAGAGTTTGGGGCACTCTGGAGAACAAGACCCTGCCCTTGAATGGGGGTTCGTGGAGGTCACAGCCTGTGTGTCCTGGAGATGGCAGCTCTCATCTCAGAATATTGTTCAGGATGTCCTACTTCTGCTGAATCGCACCAGGCAGCAGTCATGAACTTTTACATAGGAAACACAAAGTGAAACTAAGAACAAAGAAACGCCAGGTGTTTTTGCTGTTGTAATAGCTCTGAACCAATGAATGTAATCTTTTTTTTTTTTTTTTTTTTTTTTTTTTTTTTGTATCAGGGATCGAACTCGGGTCCTTGCTCTTGCAAGGCAGGCCATCGAACTGCTGAGCTAAATCCCCGGCCCTAAAACTACATTTTTTTTTCAGATTTTTTTTGGGGGGGTACCAGGGATCGAACTCAGGCCCTTGTGCTTGTGAGGCAGGCAGCAGAACCACTGAGCCAAATCCCCAGCCCAAATATAATCTTTTTATAACACCAGTTTTCTTCAAAATTATTTAATGAAAAAAACAATTTGTTTGAAAGATAAGTTTATTTTTGCTGGAATGCTGTTAACGGTACTTGTGAGAGTCCTTCTTATGAACCTGTTCTCAGATGCTTTAGAGAAGAGTCACAACTGTGGATGTCAAAGGCTCAGAGTGGCTATGGCTAAAACTCTGAGGAAAGTTTAGCAAGTAACAAAACAACCCGCTTTCCAATGTGTACAATTTTAGGGATAATACATCTGACTGACAGCGTGAAATCAGGACCATCGCACTTTAAAAAATATATTTGGCTTTCCATTTTACTGTAAAGACAGTAACTCTAAAATGTAATCTATAGGGGCTGGGATGTAGGTCTGTGGTGCCACACCTGCCTGGCAAGCACTAGGTCCTGCGTTTAATGCCTGGTCCTGAAAAATAATGTAATTTATAAATAGCAGATTATTTTTATCCAATTTTGAAATTTTAATGACATCAGTCCACACCACATTTTGTCTCTGAGCAGTAATGGCTTTTCTTTGGCAGTGCTGGCTGCAGAACCTGAGTCTGTGTGTGCTTGGCAGGCGCTCTGTCAGCAAGCTGCATCCTGGCCAGGAAGAGTGAAATGTTTTTAAAATAAAGTACAACGTGCTGTTCACAGACGGGCTCCTTGGTGCCCACAGCCTAACCTTGAACTATGACAGTGACACTACCTGGAGTGCTGAGTGCTTGGGCCTGTGTAACTGTGAGCATAGGACCAGGAGCACGGGAACACAGACCTGTGGACACCTGGCACTACCGACGTCTGCAGTGCAGAAGGTGGGGCGCGGCACGGTGCTCCCTGAGCTCCGCGGTGTAGAAGGCCTGACTGTCGGGGAGCACAGCCGTTTTTAACACACAGAGAGGCGGCAGGATTTGGCATGACAGCTCCACAGAGTCCTTTCTTGTGTAGCCACTGAGCTCTTACCTTTGCGGTGAAATTTCAAAGCTAACGATACTGGCCAAAACCAAAGGGTGGCTGCAGAGCTCTTCCACACTTCGCAAACAGTGCTGAGGACCTCAGGTGCCTCGTTGCCTGAGGTGCAAGTGCAGCTCATCAGTACAATGACAGCCAACAGATGTGGGCCAGGTTTCAGAGGCAACACCTGGCCAAATCGTGGGGCTGCTTCCGCCCTGTGGTGCTGAGGCCAGACAGCGCAGAGGCTGAGCCTTTCTGACCGTAGCACACTTCAAGTGCACAGCTAAGGGATGTTGATATTGTACAGACGACAACACACATTCAGGACGTTGCCCGTGCCCGACTGATGCACCTTTAATATTACAAACTTTTGTATAACATTTGGACAAAGCTTAGACACACAGCATATTTAGTCTGCAGATGAATACACATTGTTTGTCACATATACACGGTGCCAGGTTCACAATGACCCGGAAGAAGAGTCATTTGTTAACCAGTGTCATAAAGTGATGACTTAAAAGACTTTACAGCAAACACCTTAAAAATCTCTGGCTCTACCGAGACCTAGTTCCTTACGTGATCAAAATTCTGACAAACAGAAAACCCTTATTTTCTAAGCCAGTACTGTACTTTGTGTGTTTGATTCTTTGAGTTTTTCGAGACAGAGACTCAAAATGGAGTCCAGGCAGGCCTTGGACTCACTCTGTAACCCACACTGGCCTTGAACTTGTGTCAATCCTCCTGCCTCAGCCTCCTGAGTGCTGGGATTACAGGCGTGTGCCACCATGCCCGGCTTAATACTGTGCACATGTTATCAAACAGAGATCAGTGTTTTAACCACCCTTGGTGTATTAACATAGAGCCTTGGATTTTGGTTTTTTGTTGTTGCACTGAAGTTTTACCTTAGAAAACCCCTTTAAAATAAAATTGCAGTTGTAGTCACCTTTACCATGCATACAAATTATTATTCTCTGCAACCTGCCCAGACACATTATAATTTTTACATCCTTAGTTTCTGTTGTCTTTTTTCTTCCTTATTTTGAAGTATTCCAGTAATTTAGGACAAAAATCTTACGACAGAAAATCCTCTTGTATTGTAAATAATTCTCTCTCCTTTAACTTTTCTTATAAAAAGTAGCCCTATAACTTTTTTACATCTTATTCGATTTACTAGGTTTTTTTTTTCCTTAACATTTTGTTGTTGTAGTAGTTGTTGGTAGAACTGGGGATGGAACCAAGGGCCTTCCCACTGAGCGCCCTCCCTGCCCTTCCCTTACTTTTCCTTTTGGGGAGGGATCTTGCTAAATCACCAGTCACGAACTCATAGCCCTCCTGCCTCACTGCCTCTCAGAGTGCTGGGGTCCCAGGCTTGTGCGACCTCACCTGGCTTTAACAGTTTGACATCTGTTACTTTGAAAGAGTCCTTAGAAAAGTTCGAATGGAGGTGAATTACTCGTTGTGTATCCCGGGGGTGCAACCCCAGAGCCTTACAGTGAGCCACCCCCTACCCTCCCATTTTTGTTATTTTTTGAGACAGGCTCTCGCTGAGTTGCCGGACTGGACTCCAGCTCTCAAATCTTCCGCCTCGAGCTCCTAGGGTGCTGGGATTGCAGACGTGTACCACCACACCTCAGTGAGTATTCTTTTATCTTAGAGAAAGGCTGAGATGCTTCACTAGATTTTAAGGAAATAAAGGAGAAGAAGAATGAAAGTAAAGGAAAATCAAAAGGAGCATCCTTCCAAAACCGAGCCCTGCACAGGAGAGGCTGGGAACAAGGCCCGTGCCCTTCCTCGCTCTCCAGAGGCTCACGTTTCTGGAACGCACAGGGCAAAGTTCATCTGGTTGGGTCCATTCTGCCTTGTAACACAAGCAGTTTTGTTTTCCCTAAGAAAAGTAATGAGGGAGAAAGGGAAGTGGGGAGGGGGCACACAGAACCCCGGAGAGAGCTGGAGGATGCCCCAGCCCTGGCGGAAACCGAGGGGGCATGGCCAGGTAGCTGCTTGAGCGGCTGTGGCAGGAGGTTCCCTAGGAGTCCCCCAGGCCTGAGGGGTCCCCAGGGGAAATTCCTTCCCCTTATATTTAGTCTGAACCAGTATTTCCATTAAAAACAATGGAGAAAGAACCCAGAGGACTAAAAGTATCTATCTTTAACCCTGTAACAACAATCTAAGAATTTTATGTGCATAGAAAAAAAGAAAATCACAAACTCAAAAAGTGACAAAAAACGAAGCAGCCTCAGGTCCCAGGGCTAAAGTCACTCCTAGGAACTCAGGGCCAGTTTCCCTTCGGGAATCTTCACTCACGTGCTCGATGGAATTATTGTCGCGGGTCTCCACATTGTGGGCTTTACCAAGTCAGACATCACAAACAAGAGATTAACCGCCAGAGCAACAGAGTAGAGAACATATAAAATACATAGACAACCCATTAAATCTGTGTGCACTTTCAGAGACACTGGCCGGAATTTCCTGCAGGAGCACTGAGATTGAATTAGTCCTTTCAAATGTGCTCATGTAAACCCTTAAGGTTTTCTCTACACCCTGGCTCGTCTGTTCCGGGATTCCTTTGCTTGCTAGTTAACCTCACAAAATTAAAGCAAGCTTCCCCCAAATTAAAGTCTCCACAAAATTAGAGCAAGGAGACACAGAATAAGAGAAAAGAAAGGAGACAAAAGACAGTGATAGTTGCAATCACACATCTACCTTTGTGGACGTCAGGCAAGCGGTGGGGAGAAAGTATCACGAAGGAAGTGAAGGGGGACCTGGAACTGACCCTATTTCAAATTATTCTTGCCATCCCTGGGAACTACGTGGAGAATTAAGGGCAAAAAGGGTTTCTCTAGAAAATAATACAGCTAGTATAAAATAAAATTAAAACCAAGCATAAAGAAACCAATAACCAATCAAGATGGCCAACAGGACTGCCAATTTTCGGTTATTCTGGATTCGTTAAATGACTCTGCAGTCCCAGGCAATCAAACAAAAGAGCCAGGGAAGACAAAAAGGGACTGGGAGAGTGGCTGTAAGATTGAGGGTCCCTCTGGGGTTTCACTTGTTCAGGGCATACAATACTGTGAGCAGTTAGTGCATTATGGGGTCTGGGAGACTCCTACAGCAAGGCTAGAGAGGCTCCACATTGGGCCCCAGAGAGATGCCGTGCATGGGTCACAGAAAAGACGTGTGGAGATCAGGTAGGAGGCACGAGGAGGCAGGATGTTCCTGTTGAGAATGCTTTGCAATGAAGGTTCCGCATCACCAAAATATGATCGAGCTTTTCCAAGAGCTCAGAGCACCTGATGCAGTGCATGAGGTGATGGAGTACGACGTGGGGGAAGCTACCGCTGGCATCCCGGAGGCAGTCACCTTCAGGAAGAGGAGGCCTGGAGCAGGGCCGTGTGGACCATGCACTCCTGCAAAAGCCAGAGATGGAAATGGAGAGTGCCCTGTGGGTGCTGGAGGAAACACCACGGCCAGTGACTTTGATGTAGACAGCAAATGCAGGGCCTGGGCAGAAGCTGGCCAAGCTCTATGACAGTCCCCTACTCTGTGCTCTGGAAATATTGTGTGGAAAGGAGAGTAAGTGGGGAGCAGACAGGATTACAGTATGTTATGGATATCTATGAAAATACCCCACTTAAATCTAAGATTTAGTAAATAGGCAACCTGAACACCTTATGTTCAGCCACATCTGTCTCCTGAATTCACTGAATATCTTGTCTCCCTGACCCACACTCCAAGGAGGTCAGTGCTCAGAGAAAGAAGGACTGGACCCAGCCCAGAAGGCCCAGACCCCAGGCCAGAATGGATCGGCTTGCTCTGGAGGCAGCAGAGGTGGAGGCCAGTGGAGGGCATCAGGCTGGCCACCGGGGGGGGGGAGACAGGGAGCAGCGAGTGGGCACAGGACTGAGCCCCAAAGTGCTCAAGTGGGTGCTGCCATAGGAGATCCTCTGGATACCCTCCCTGTATATCATGGGGAACACGACCAATTCCTGCATGGGCAAAGGTGAGGGAAGACGGCTCTGGTATCAGCGCGATTTATCTCAGTTTGGAAGAAAAGAGACGGAAGCCACCCAGAGAGTGTAATTAGAGAATAAGACGTTAACAATTTTGTACCGATCTAGAAGAAAAGTATGATTCATCAGAGCTTCAAATAGAGCAGCAATCTACAAGTTATCACAGTCAGCTGCAACAGAACGAGGGACAGGGAACACTAACATAAAATACACACACTGTAAAATATTATTAAGGAATTTAAACAGAGCCAAATCCAAGAAATCCACAAACAGCGGCAGCAAATGTCAGCATTACGGAGTCCACACCAAAGAAAATGGCAGAGATAGAGTCATCAGCACGGAAGGGAATTAAGCAAATATAGAGAATGCACTGAAGATATAATGACACGGCCACTCAGGAGTTAGAATAACTGATAACTCTAGAATATGTGAGATACAGAAATTAGTCAGGTTCTGCAAACTGAAAAACTGGAGTCTACAAGAAGCTGAGGCTAAAAAAGACACTTAAAAAAATCTGCACAGAATGACAGAGACATCTTACGGAGAGAAGGAGATGCAGGCATTGGAAAAGAGTCCAAGAATTCATCAGTGTGAAAGGAATTGGAACCGCAGGCTTATGGTGTGAAGCAAAGTGCTTCTGTGGCAGAAAAGGCAAGAATTCTTCCACAGAGTTTCTCTGAAGAAGAAAGGTTCAGACCCCAATGAACGCTGAGGCTGAAGATGAAATAATGAGACTGAGTATTTGGAGCCAGACGGGATATTTCTCCTCATCTGCACACTGCGTTGGCATTTCTGGAGGAGAACCATCTTGCCGAAGAAAATATGAAACTTTGAATGTGTGTCCAAGTCTTAAAACAGAGAAGTCATTTTTGTGTCAAGAAAAGGAAGAACTTCAGTGTCACTCAAAATTGGGATGGAGGAGAAGCGTCCGTCTCCCTCCTTTGCCCCGGCTGGCTATGGGAGGTGTGGCTTGGCTGACAGCTGTCTGCCCTGCCACTTGCTCCCACATGCACCCCAGTGGACCGGGACAGTTTGCTTCACTGTCCTCCCCTCAGCCAGGCCGTGTGGGGCCACTTCCCCCTCTAGCCACCGCAGTGGATACTGTTGCTTCTTTGGGAAGAGAGGGCACCTGGGAGTACCTCGGATCAGGAATGGAGGGACCTGGGCCGCTGATCTGCTTACCCAGCATTCACAGCGGGTCTTCCAGTTTCAGCTCTCACCCTCACTGAAACAGCCCTGCAACCTACTACATCAGTAGCACTTTCCAGGCACTCCTTGAGTTTTAGTCTAGGAGGGTCCCTCCTGTGGACTAGACCCCCGTGCTGCGGCACAAGCCCTGTTATGGACTTGCTTTGGTGTCCTGTAAACCTGCTCGTGATTTATTTCTTGGCTAGTGTGGGCTCTAAAAGTCCTATCAGTCTACTTAGGGCTTCTATCCTGAGTAGAGTAAGGTAGGCAGAGAGAGTGAAGAGTTCCATTAACACTGAAGAACTCCAGAGAGCAGCAGCCAACGAAGAACAGCAGCTAACAAAGACCAACAGCAGTGACCCAACACCTGACAGAGTCAACCTATGGTGTCCAGCACAAGCTGGCACTGGATGGTGACAACTGGTAGCGGTGCTGACCATGAGCTGGGGGTGTTAACTGTGGTCACCTGGTGACATTGTGACTTCCAGCAGAGATACACTCTGCTGATTCATGATTTGCATCTGAAATCAGCAAAAGAAACCTCAGATGATTGGCAATAAAACTGTGCACTGAATGTGAATTAATTAAAAGTACAGCTGTGAGAGGTGTGAATTTGGATTCAGAATTACATGACGGGAGGCTGAACTTGAATGTGAAGGATCAAGAACTGAATCAGTATCAATGCAAAGGAAATGCTGGTGGATGAGTTCGAAAAATCAGATAAACAGAAGCAAGAAGTTATAAACCATGTGAACCTGATAAAAGATCAGCTATCAAAACAATGAAGGAAAGCAGACAGTATCATCAAGCAACTGAAATAAGAGCTATATGGTGAAAAAAAAAGTTCATCAATTTGAGAATGGCAACATGAACATCATTTGAGGACAGAAAAAATATCAAATTCAAAATGAATGGATTCTAAATGATTTGTGTTTATTCCAGAAAAAGCTTGGTCCCCAAGAAGAATGCAGTTGGAGTTTCCACAGAAAGAGCTGGTTTTAAAGGATTTCAGGCAGAGAAAATACCAGTGTGTTCTGCTGAATTAGAAGAGCAGTTGCAGCTTATGGCTGAATGGATAAAAAAGGCAGAAAATCTAGAGAAAAGGTATTATCTTTACATGAGGCAAATGCCGCTATGGATTCAGATCAAAACTTACAGAACGGTTGGAGCTAAAGGAGAAGCAGACTAAAAATTATAAAGCCAAATGATCTCTGAAAAGAAGTGTTGGAGGGTGCACAAAGGAAACCGATAACCTTAGTAAACAGTACAAGAGGAAAAGTGGACCAAGTCCTTCTAGGAAATCTCACCTGTGGTTATTTCCATTCATCAAAATCCAGCACCAGGAAGTGTCCCAATTAATGGGAAGCACCTGGGTGTTAAGGGGAAGAATTTGAGCAGTGGCTGAAGATCAGGGAGGTGTTTCTAGATGGATGGTGAGGTGGCCTGGAGGATCAAACAATGACCCCAACACATCCTTGAGACCAATCCAGCAATCTGTGCTTAAAGGCTCTCTTTCAGGACTTTGTGTTAAATTTCTAGAAACAGAATCTTCTTCTATCTCTGTTTTATCACCGTACTTTTCTGTTCATGATTTGAACGTCTGGATTCACCAAGGACAGGACTAAAAAGATATATATGTCAGACAGCTTTACAGGTACAGTAGAACCCAGGGAATCAGAGGGGTTAGAAGAGAAACAAGGAACTGGCAGAGCAGCCATAAGACTGAAGATCCTACTAGGGCCTCATGTTCACGGTGTCCAACCCTGTGAGCATTCAGTACAGCCCAGGTAACTCCTTGCAGCAAGGCTCGAGAGGCCCCACATTGGGCACCAGAGAGTTGTCGCCAGTTAGCATGGGTCACAGCAAAGACGTATGGAAATTAGATAGGATTCCTGAATCTCAGCTGAACATATTTCTGTAATGAAGGCTCTGAGCCATCCAAATGTGGTCAAGCTATATCAAGTGCTCAGAACACCTGTTGTAGTGCATCCAGTGCTGGAGCGTGCCAGAGGGGGACAACTACTGCACTGCATCCTGGAGGCAGCCGCCTGCAGGACAGGAGGCCTGGTGAAAGATCACGGGGGCCTCATGACCAACAAGGGCATCACAGAGACCAGTGAGCTGGAGGACACTCTGCAAGTGCTAGAGGAAGCACCATGGTCGGCAACTTTGGCATGGGCAGCAAGCACAGGGCCCAGGCAGATGCAGGGCAAGCTCTGTGACATACTCCTGTGCTGTGCTCCTGAAATATTGCAGGGAAAAAAATACGAGGGCTCTACCCTAGACATCTAGAGCTGTGCGACCTCTTGGGCAGCGTGATAACGGGGTTCCTCCCATCGCCTGTGTTCTCCTCTGCACATCTTCAGCAGCGAGTCATGCCGCAAAGATGCAGCACTCGGCCTTCCCTTTCTGCAGAAGTACAAAGTATCATCAGTCACCTACTAAAACGGAAACAAGACAGAGGCCCAGGCCGGACAACACCCTGGGCAATCAGGGCTGAGCCGTGGGGTGGAACATTCGCCCTGTCCTTGTGGATTTGGAAGTCCATGTGTCCGGTGGGCTGCAACCCTCATGGGATACGAGACTCTGAGACGGAACGATTGATGGCGACATAGAAGACTGCTAAGCACCAGGCACCCTGGGGTCCAGGCAGTGCCATCGACGTGGACGCTATGAATCTGGGGGTTATGCCTTTCCCGTCCCCCTCACATCCTTCCAGCTTGGTTCTTGTGCCACACAGGAGGCTCAGTGAGACGCCCCTTCACTCTCCAAACATCCCCTGCCTGAGAAGGATGGGCAGTCAGGGAAGAAGGGGGTGGAAGAGCCCACGCCTGCCATTCCCACCTGCAATCCACATGTTACCAAGGCTACCGTGTCCCCTGCCAGCCCCAGGGGAAGGGGTGGCCCCTGTGGAAATAGCCAGAAAACTTCCTCCAGACTGAGCAAACCATAGAACGACCGCAAACATAGCCTACACCTGTGACAAGGTCAGGGGCAAGGGGACTCGATCACCACCTGCGTTCCCAGCCTGTAGTGCTGCCTGCCGCCCCACAGACATCTGTGGACGCAGAAACCAATGCTCCCTTGGGCTGGAGGACAGGGCTGTCAGGAGCACACCTGAGTAGGTGGCTGATACAGCTGTGCGGCCTGCTGGATTCTTCATGTTCTGTCATCCCACTGTCCACGGACCAATCTAACGTAAGGGTGGACCCGGGTAGAGAGAGGGAAGGGGGTTGTTGGTCATGGGGAGCAGGTCCAGATGGGCAGGAGGAGTCGGCTGGGAGACGCGGCACAGGAGCAGCGTCGTGCAGATCCCGGTGTCGCTGAGAGCGGTTCCAGCGGGGTCCGTGCAGCTGAGCTGGCGGCCAGAGAGCTGCGAGCGCGGAGGATCCTGGCGTCTGAGCGGCGTGGGGACTGAGGACGCAGGGACGCAGACATCTGTAGGAGAGGGGCCGTCCAGATGCCCCGGGGCCCTTCCCCGGCCCTGCTGTTCTCTCTCCTTTCTCCCACCAGTCATTGTCGCAGAGGGAGAATCTTCCCAGGTGACCCTGGCCCGGCGTCCCCTTACCGGAAGTGTAGCGGCTGTAAAAGTCCCGCAGGAGACGCAAGACAAGCCCCCTTCACTGTGTCTCGGGGGACACGCTGTGGGCTCGAGTCACCCCGCAGGACCCAGCGGCTTCAAGGGACTGAACAGCGCATCGGGTCTGTCTGCTGAAGGAACGCGCAGGTGGGGTTGGCTGTGACACTGCATCCTGAAGGCCCGAGGCTCCTCAGGGAGACATCTTGCACAGTGGTTCACCGTCACCAGAAGGGAATTATGCGAGTCCTGCTTGATGCCGGGGGTAGGGTCAAAGTGGGTGACCTTGGCTGCTTGGGGGCCCCCTCCTCACTCGTGGAGCACACAGTCGGTGCACTTAGTCCTGAGGCCGCTGCCTTCCGCAGAAGCCTGGAAAACTCTTCCTACCGGCCGTGCACAGCGGCCACCACTGCCACCGCGAGGGACCCGCGGCCTGGAAACATCCTCCTGGATGCCAAGGGCAACGCAGAAGCGAGCGAATGAGGGCCGGGTGCCAGGACCTCAGGAGGGCACGGGCTGTCCTGCCGTGTCGCCTGCTCTACTGTGCCGCAGTCCTCAGCAAAGCTCTGAGGGCCAGCGGGGAGCGGCTGGGGTCCGGAGATGTCCTCTGCAGTGCACTCACAGGCTCGCTCCATTGTGCGCAGATCCTAGAGGGAAAGTGCAGCCTTCCAGTCCCCTCTCCGGGGACGCATGAAGCCTCCTTGGCCAGCTGCGCACCCTGGAGCCTGGGCAGAGGCACACCGTTGAGACCATCGCAAGGTACCAGTGGCCCTACCAGGAGAGTGGGCACCCCCAGACCTCTGCCGGAGCCGTCCCAGGCCAGCCAAACTCAACCATCCCGCAGGGATTGAGATCCTCAGGAAGCCCCCAGGTGAAGAAAATTGAACAGCAGCCACACACTCGAGGGCCAGGCTGCACGAGGCACATGGAGCTCGCCAACCAGATGCTCTGGCTCCCCATGCCCTGCAGGTCGCCCCCCTTTGACGCTCATCCACAAGGCCAGAGCAGGAGGAGGCGGAAAGAGGTGGAAAGGCCTCCCTGCCATCTACTCCTTGCTGGGGCCTGAAGCCAGGGATTCCAGCTCCCAGCAAAGCCGCGGGAGCCTCCACCAAGAAGAGGCGGGGCTGGAAGGGGGCAGCAAGGAGGAGACCGCCCGCTGTGGGACCCTGTGTGTGGCCCCGAGTAAGTCCCACAGCGAAGAGGAGGGCGAGGAGGCCAGTGGGGCACCCTGGGTTCCGTTCCACGTTGTTTATGCTGTGACACCATTGTGCTCAATGGAAGAGTCATAGCCTCAGGGGTGCGGGAAGCAGACTAGGGGAGGTGTCAGGAGGCGGCGGCCACAGTTCCTGGAGGAGGGAGGAAGCTGCAGAGTTGGGCGGTAGGGACCACAGCCAAGAATGTCCCACGCATCTCAGAGCGAGCGTGCACTTCACATGCGTCCCTGCGTCTCTGGGGCAGAGAGCTCTGATCTCCATGGACCCCAGGTGGTGGCGATGGGAGACCAGTCAGGCGTGGCCTGCAGAGGCCACAGGAGGAGCGGGGCGGGGCTCCAGGCTGCAGTGCACCTGCTGCCTGTCCCAGAGGCTCCGCCCAGCACAGAGAAGACAAGTGCCACACGCAGGCCAGGCCAGAGGCTGCCCGGAGCCACCTGGAGTCCAAGGGCACCCAGGACACTGTCCCTCCTGCTCGTCCCTGTCCTTTCTGCCTCACTGCATTGCTGTTTCTCACAAATCTTTCAGTGTGCTGGTGCTCCTGAAAGACGACTGTGGTCTCCCTGCACTTCTGTCTCCTGTTGCCTGGCCGCTGGTCGTCACTGTCACTGTGCTGCTGAGACAAAGCGCCAAAGACCAAGCACCTCCAGAGGAAGGGAAACCCAGCGGGAAGGCTGGGAAGCGTGAGGGGGCGGTTAGGAGCCTCCTGGCCAAGGCCCTGCTGAGGGCCCCGCCCTTCTGCCATCACCTGACCGGGAGTCCCCAGCCCTGCAGTTGGGAGGGGCTCATTCAGAGCTCAACGCAAACCTACACGGAAATCCACGCCGTGACAGAACAGTGAGCATGACCCAGTGTGTCTCATCTCTAGGTCTAGAAAGAAAAGCGAGGGTGTGCACGTGAGGAAGAGCCCTTCTACCCTGTGCAGAGGAAGGTCAACACCACAGCTCCTGTGGAAATCAGGACCAGGAGCTTCAGAAGCTAAGCCTAATGCCCCACCTGACCTCACTGTGCCCCCCACACTCACAGAGCAGACATCAGCGCAGGGCAGGGATGCAGCCTGCCTGTGCTTGCTGCAGCACAACCACAAGAGCCAGAAGGTACAATTAGCGGAGGTGTCCATTAAGAGGGACCAATAAAGACAGTATGCAATAGAGTCTTATTTAGCTCTAAAGAAGAAGGAAATAGCCACGTGTGGTGTTCACACTTTTAATCCCAGCACTTTGGGAGGCTGAGGCAGGAGGGTTCCAAATACACGCGCAAGCTGAGCAACTGCAGCATTTGGCAAGATCCTGCCTCAAAATAAAATAAAAGTTTTGAATGCCTAGTATGTTCAATCCCAGTACCACAAGAAACACAACAAAGTCACAAATTGTGGCACCTGTGGGAAAATGGACGGAACTGGAGATCACCGTTCAGCAAAACCTGCCCGACTCAGAAGCTGCTTGGCGCCTTTCCCTGCTGCAAGGAGTCTCAGAAAACGCGCTGGGGACACAGTTCGGGGTAGAGCACTTGTCTGCACGCAGGAAGGGGTGCAATCCCAGTACCAAGGAGCATCCAGAACAAGAACAGGAGGCAGATCGCACCCGGAGGGAGGGTGGACTGGGCTGGGGAGAGCGCGGGCAGGAGAGACGGTCAGGGCCAGAGCTATGGGTGTCTAGGGAGGTTCCGCCTTGAAGCTCAGGACTCGGGCGCTGATACAAATACATCTAAAAACAAAGACTACGTAGGAAGCAGAACTTAGACCGCCAGTCCCTAAGCCAATTAGACATACAGATATCTGTCAGTACACGTCAGATGCACGCGGGTACGGATGAATCTACCTCGCACATGGGCACACACGTCTGCTGACAGCCAGGAATGGAGGGCCCGGGAGCTGGGTCCGCAGGGAAGCCATGGGGCCTAAGCCGACAGCAACACACACGGGCGATGCCGGCCACCCGGACACCTTGTGTTCACATCCGAGTCCACTGCGGGCCTGCTCTCCCCGACCCGCACCCCAGGGAGGTCCCTGTCCGAGCGCGTGGGACTGGACCCGACCCAGGCAGGCTCCGCCCTCAGCCCGGCTCCTGGCCCCACACGGGAGCCCCTGCCCAGGTCTGCCAGAACTGCATACCTTCCGCCAGGAACAGCGTGCTCCGTGCGTGTGGACAAGGGTCAGTGCGTAAGACCTTCCCATCGGCCAGGCACAGGGGGACGCAGCCTGTGCCAGGCCTCACGCCCCTTCACAGAAGGGTCAGCAGCTCACACAGCAGGGTGACCGTGGGGTGCACGCCCTGGGCTCAGGGCGGCGCCCTCTGAGTCAGAGGGAGAGCAGGAACCACTGCTTCTCAAGTTGCAGGGCCCCAGCGTCCAGCCTGGGGCACAGACAGAGGGTCTGGGCTGGAAGCCGAGGAAGCCTCCAGGTCAGTGCCAGCCACTCCGGGTGGAGCTGCTCAGGGAGCAGCTGACCAAGGTGCTTTATAAAGAACCGGAGTCCGGGGCTTCCCAATGGAGATGGTAAATGCTTCAGGAAAACACTCCTCATCCTGCCTTCATCCTGACACGCTGTGTAATGGAAAGAATTGCTTAAATGCTGGAAAAACGGAAATGAAATCCCTGCAAATGCAAAGCTGCCAGGATCTCCTCGCAATGGGCCCTCGGGTCAGGAAGAAAGGCTTTTCCTGGGCACAGTGAGGGAGGCTCCCTGGCTGATGCCACACTCACCGGCCTGATCGGGTGAAGGCAGCCACCCGGGGCCGGGGCTGAGCCTGGGTTTCCCCCTCGGTGGAGAGGAGCAGCGTGGGTATTCTGCCCCGCCCCAGGCCCAGGGGACACTGCCTAGGCAGGATCTCCGTCCTCCCTCTCCCGGATCACAGGGCTGCACCGACCCTGCTGCGACCAGGCTGGGCTAAGTGGGGGCTCGCATGCAGACCTTCAGAGGCTTCCAGTCTCTGATCCCAGAGACAGAGAGGACCCAGGAAAACAGAGCCTGACCCCGCTCCACACCACAGCGGGGCAAACTCAACTCACTCAACTGGAGCAGAGGAGGAGGCCCAGCTGTCCCCAAGTCCCCAACCCCACAGCCCACAGCAACCCTGGAGCTTAGGCACACACTGAATCAGAGGCAATGCTGTCCTCACCCCAACCCAACTTCCACAGCTCCAGGCCCAAGGCGAGGATAGCTGGGGACAGCTTGGGTCCTGTGTGCGGGAGACCCAGTTCCCAGAGGGGAGAAAATCCCACCAGAGGAGGCTCCAGCCACACTTGAGGCCTCGGGCTCACTGAGGAGGCACTGCATTTGGAGCGGACAGGGCTGGGCCCTGCCCTTGTGACCCTGCCCACCCTGAGACTGGAGCAGCCTGAGGAGGGGGGTCTCAGGGAGGGGAAGAAGCAGGGAAGTGCATGTTACGTTACAGCACTCAGAACTGCTCTGGTCACTCTGTGAGCAGGAGAGACCTCAGGGCCTTTGCACATGCTGATCTGTGTGTGAGCCGTCTGCCCCTTGCTCTGCTACCCCAGCATCCCTATGCCCAGCTTCCCCTGCAGCCCTTCCCCCTGTCTCTATCGGTACCTGTCCCTCCTCCCAGCAGCACTTGCTACTCCTCCCACCTGTGTCTGGACCTCTTGTGCCCCTGTCGCTCCCACAGGCAGGGCCCTCCTTGCCCCTGTCATGTGTGTGCTAGAAGCTAGGGCAGCCTTGCACAGAGCAGCTGCTGCACAAGTGTGTGCTAAGTGAGGGAAGAGAGGCCTGGTTTCCTCCAGTGAGCAGGGTTGGGGCTGGGGAGACGGGAGCTGGTCCCCCACCCCGAGTGAACACACTCGGACCCCCGGCTCTGATGCCCCAGGGAGAGAGGACTGGATGGGCCCAGGTCCCCGGAGAACAGACCTGTGGGCTTCGCCTTTCACCCCTGCCATGCGCCCTCCTGACTCTGACACTGGAAACCTCCCCCTGTGCCTGGACAGTGCTGCAGCTGTGGCCTGTCCTCAGCAGTCCCCTCACCCACAGTGACCACTCACCCTGTCCACTGGGGAGTCCCCTAGACACACTCTGCCCTGAGGAGATGCCAGAGAGCTTGCAGACTCCCCAGGGCCCAGCCAAGAGCCTGCGTTTCCCTGGAGCTGCCAGGACAGACACCCCTAGACTCAGGGTCGGGGACGTCCCGATGGGGCCATCGCCAAGGTGGCCCAGCTCCGATGAAGTGCTGCTCGTACGCCTGACCCCGCAGCAGCAGCGCTCAGCCTGGCAGCCATATGTGCGGGGTGCAGGGACTGTCCCCACCCCCACGCTGCCTTATAACAAAGGGGTGCAGAGTGCGTGTCACGGAGCAGCAGCTCGGGCGCGGTGGCCACGGTCTCCCTCCCGGACCCAGGGCTGACCGGGAGCTGCGGCTGCCCAGGCCCGAGGGGATCGGACCCCAGGTCACCTGTCCAGGACAAGCTTTGAGTCCACGCCGCCCAGCGAGGCCTCTGACGGT